TATCTGAACTACAGAAGGTGTTGTGTCTCTACAGCTGCTTCAATTTGCTTAGTTGTGGCACATTGTTTAGAGGACAAGATCAGCTCTTTGTGTTACTGTATTTTAATAGATTCCCAACTTGTACTGAATGAGAACTCAAAAAAAAAAAAAAAAAACAAAACAAAAACACACAAAAAACCAAACAACAAACCCACCATAAAACCCTCTACATGTATAAAAAAATGATATGGAGTGACAGCTACAAAGAACCTAGCAATCTCTCATTTTTCAATGGGACTGAGTTACAAGATGTCTGAAAGAACTGTAAGGAAAAGAGTGACCTGTACTCATCTCAGCTGTCATTTGTAAATCAGCTAACAATATTTACCACATCTTTCTTTTGGGAGAGGTGACCTCAGAAGCTTCAGTAGTTCTACAGAATAACTTCCCTTGTGCTATGACTTTGATTGGTCCTACTGCAATATTATTTTTAACCTAACACAGCAAAGTATTTTGTTTCAGTATTTTTTATTCCTATAGCAACAGGCTATTGCTCTATTCTAAATAGAGGAACATGATTCCCTTTCCCAATCATGTTTCTGAAAGGTTTCCAAATAAATTATAGATGCTCCTTTTGTTCCAGTGCTCCTGTTCCTCTAAGGACACCAGATCTGTCATGAACATATTTTAGCACATACCCTTAAAACCTATCTTGACCTCGAAATACAGAAATAGTTATATATACACAGAATATCCAAATGAAAGAAACATTGGGGAAAAAAAAAACCCAACAACCAGCCCACATACATAAACTACCATTTAATTAAGTCAAATGAAAAAAAAAATTAATTTTGTTCAAGCATTGAGAATGGTGTGGTGGTTTGACAGGAAATGTGTTTTTTGGGATGCTATGGTTGGGCCAATGGATGTTCAGATTTTAATATTGGCATCTAATATGGCCATTAGGACATGGATCCGCCTCTGAGAACACAGGGTTAAAAGCAGAGCACTTCCCCTGGGAGGGTCTCTTGGGTTCCGGTGAGGAAAGAGTTCGGATCTCTCCCCCAGATCTCTCCCCCGTCCAGCTGCTGCTGCTGGGCGGGAGAGGGGAGCCATGCAGCCGGGTGAGGTAGGCCGAGGCTTGGACCGAGAGGGGAGGTGAAGAGGCCCCCAAGGATGGAAGGGTGGGAGAAGTACCAGGAGGCATCGGGCAGCCCCCCCTCAAGAGAGAGAGAGAGAGAGAGTACAGCCTGTGCTTGAGACTATGTTACCTTGAAACTTGATAACATGTGCCGGCAGCACGGCTGAGAAGGAGAAGCAGAGGGGGGGGGAGGATGCAGCGAGGTGTCCAGGCTGTGGGAGTTCCTGAGAAGGCAGAGTCCGAGTTTTTAACCCTTATTTGGACAATGAAAACTTTGCAGAACATTAACCTTTCCTAGAAGAGAGATAGAGATGAAATGGAAGAAGGAAATGGGCAAGTGTGAGAGAGGTCTGGGCGAGTGAGAAATAGTGGAAGAATAGAGAAGAATCCTAGTGGGAAGAGATGATGGAGTGGCTTTTGCTGGACTCTTTTTGTACAGCCATGGACAGAACCATATTCCTTGTGATACAGAGACTGCATCTAGGGGGAGGCAATGCCTCAGAACCAAGAGGGTTCAGTGTTGGTGCCCCTCGGCCCCAGGGGGTGAAAAATATGGGGGGGACAGGTGTCCCAAAGGAGAGACTGTGGGGACAGGTGTCCCAAAGGTGAGACTGTGCCCTTTTTGGATCAGGACAAAGCATCCTTAAAAAGACAACCCTAGAAGCAGCTCTGGTCCATGTTCAGTGGTGAGAGCACTGGACATGAAAGGAAGAGGTCACGACAGCAGATGTACTCCAGGCAGTGCCACGAGTGACACGGAAACACACGAGGCTTCAGCTGTGTTTCCAGGGGAAGCCCATGGTACAAGAAGGACTCCTCTCCTCTTGATGAACTGAGGATTGATTGTCTGAAGGGTGGTGCTGGACCAAGAGTTGGTGATTTGGGGAATAGATGTATTGTATTGGAATTTGGTGGGGGGAGGAGGAAGTGTATTTGTGGGGTTTTCATTTTTCCTGTGTGTGTTCCTTTTTACATATAGTTGTAGTGTAGTTAATAAAGTTTTGTTTTCTTTATTTCCAAGTGGGAGCCTGCTTTGCTTATTCCTGGTCACATCTCACAGCAGAAACCAGGGAGAGGGTATCCTCATGGGGGCACTGGCATTGTGCTAGTGTCAAACCATGACAAATGGGATTGAGGTGTGTTGTGTTTGTTTTGGGGCAGCTTGACATTCCCATGACTGCATGACTGCGCCCATACTGCAGCAACAACACAAAACTTTTGTCTGTGGTTGTTACAACCATTCCACTATCCTGAAAGCAGGATTCACATTAATATATAAGTGTCCTAGAAACACTAAAGTAATCAATCCATCACTGTCTAAATCTGCCTGAAATTCTCTCTCCTATGAGTAAAGGTTCTGCAATTTACACTTAAAAATTATTAATGGCAGGTCCTTACATGCAAGGCTTCTTTAATAGAATTTATGTAGTGTTAAGCCATATTCTCCAGTGTTTAATATTAGAAGTGAAATTACAAAAAAAAAAAAAAAAAAAACCTTGAAACTAAGTTATCAATGCAGTTCTCAGTGACTTTTCTGAGAATAAAGCTATTTTTAGGGAAACGTTCTTAGGCTAATTCGGACTATTTTAATTCTTTTAAACTCAACACTAATTATTTTATCTTGTTGCAATAAAAAGGAAGGACATTACCAGCTTTAAATTTACCGTCTTTTCTTTGCCTTTCCCTTACATTTCATGAAGTTTCACAATTATACTTTATAGACCCTATATTACTTTTCTCTGCTTGCTGTCATGACAAAATCTCACACAAATGTCATGGGAAATAATTTTTATCATTAGTAAAAGTTTTATTAAAACCATTTCCAGATGCATGAAGTACCTAAGTTTTGCTAACTTATCATTAGAACAACAGAGAACAAAAAAAATCTTTGAAAATTAATCTATAGTTTTATTTTAAAATTTAAATCATGGAGATTTTAACTCATGGAGACAAAGCTGTTTACATAGTGTTAGAAAAAAAGAGTACAATCAGACACAAAACCAAAATACAAACTCTAATGAATCATGTCTAACAAGCACAGAAATGGTGCATGCTGAGGTTTGTGCACATAAGATCCCTACCCTAGAGACATTATCATCCCTTCTGTCTGACATCTCAACTGCAAAATCTCAAGGGAGTCATGAACATATGTGCCACTGTAATCACTTAGTTACATTTTGCATGCACATAAATAGATTACCTGCAGTGTTTGCTACTGTTGCACTTAGCAATGTTGGATGATGTATAATTTTGATGCACACCAATGCAAAGCTGGATTTTTAGGCCCAGTGTTTGATATACTAGGTATAGTTGCACCATATATTCTTTCTAGGCAGACAGATTGTTCCTTGCCTTGAAATCTTTACAGCCTACTGCTTGCAAAATTCAGAGGATTTAGCACACACTCATGGTGGGGGGGAAGGCTGAATGATCATCCAGTCTATCCCACCTTCCTCAAGGCAAGACCTCCTAGGTAATCCTGACAGATATCTGTCTTGTCATGCTTAACTTACTTTCATGCAGCTATTCAGGTATGTAGAAAGAGAAATGTGCATACACACACGCCTTCAGATTCAACAAATGGAAGAACACAACACTGACTATCTACTGACTTTGTTATGATGCCGTGGCAAGGTCCAACTGAAAAAAAAGTGACTACAGGAATATGGCCAAAAATATACAATCTAAAGGAGAAATAAAATATGCTATTGTGGCAAGTATACATACAGATATACAAACACACATTAAAAAACAAATGTTAACTAGGAAAATTACTCTTTAACCAATTCTTTATCAACCATCAAATCTATTTTAGATGCAGTGTAGAGTCAAAGAACATATAACTTAGGAGCTTTCCCCCCGTTATTCTGCACTCACAAACACGGTTTTAGGAGACTTCCACCCAAACCAATGAACTGTTTCATTAGTTTACTTCTCACCAAAAAAAACCCAAAAAAACCCCAGGTTGCTTAGCAAAACTTATAATACATAAATAAATGTATTTTATGCTTCACTATACATTTCATCAAACTAAACTGACAGGATTTTCTGTAGTGTGCATGCTTTTTATACTGATTACCTCTTTCAAATCAAACAAAAAATCCTGCACACTAGTAGAAGTATGACTTCCTCAATGACTGTTATTAACAGCTTCATGTCACCTAATTAAGCTATAAATTCAGCAAAAATGAAGAATTACATAATAATGCCATTTCCTCTTTTTGACAAACTTCTCATTATTCAAGGCCCATTTTTGTCAAATGAATCTCCCCGAAGTTAAAGACATTTTTAACACTCTGGAAGTCTTATTAAAAAGGGCCACTAAGCATACTAAAGCACCTTAGAACCCCATAAGCACCATAAAGTTGTGTCTGACAAAATACACAGGAGTACATAAGCCTTCCACATTAGTTACAGGTAAGTACAAGAGTACAAAAATATTAGAGGTCTAACCAGGTCTTTTAAGTCAACTACCAGTGCTATCAGAGGCTCCAGGACCTCTTCCTCCTCCAAGACCTACTCTGCCTTCCTTGAGATGCTATAAATATTAGAGCCCCTCTGCAAATCCTGCATTCAAAGGGCAATCCAAAATCTCCTACAGGTCTCCTTCCGCTCAACATCCAATCATTTTCCCCACCTCTCCTAAATCCCGAGCCTGTTCCAGCACGCGCCCCTACCCCTAAGCTACATAACAGTCCACCGTCCCCCACAACGTTTCTGCCCCAAACCTACAGCAACGCTCACCCAGCAGCATCCTTGCTCCCATCCCACCCGCGCACTAGCGCCACTTAAGTTCCCCTTCCCCATCAACAACCTCCATAGGCCCCCGAATAAGCGGTAGCCCGTCAGCCATCCCCCTACTCAGCGCGCCCGGCCGCACCTCACGGTCCTTGAGGCCCAGGAGCAGCACCTCTTCCATGAGGGTGAGGCGTGTTTCCTTGGAGTCGCCCTTCTCATCGTCTCCGGGCTCGTCCCGGCGGCCTTCATCCTCAGATCCGCCTCCTGCCTCCCGCTCCTTGGCGGCGGAGGCGTAGCGGGAGGCCTCTGTCCGGCGCTGCACCAGCCCGGAGCTACGCTGGGTCAAGGAAGTCATGGCTGGAGGCAGTGGAAGGTCAAAGGCCTGCCACGGGGAGAGGAACTTTGCGGCAGATCGGGAGGGGGAAAGAAGAAGAGACGGCAACCACTCCTGCCTCCGCCCTATCCCCACCGGGGCAACGGCCGGCCGGGGGCAATCATGGGGAGCGGGATTCGGCCGAGGCAGTGGCGGTGGGAGCCGGCGTTCCCCGCCTGCTGCGGCCGAGATGGCGGAGGTGGCTTTTCTTCCAATATGGCGGCGTACGCTGATGTCAGCGGAGGATGTGGTAGTGGCAGGCGGGGGGGTACGATCGGAAAGTTCCGCGGACGGGAGGAGCCCCTCACGGAGCCGGAGCTGTGGACGGAGAGCCTCAGGGATGCGGCCCCCTCAGCCTTAGGGACTGCGGGTGGTGCCGGCTCTTATTGACTATTACTAATCGTTAGCCGGGGCTGTGGAGGACGATTAATCCGATGCTCAGGGCGGAGGGGAAGGGGGGCTGGAGAGCCGGTGCCCGCCGCGGCATAACCCGGGGGCTGGGTAGTACACTCTCATCAATTAGGTTTTTTTAAGTGCTTTATTTACAAATTTACAACCTTAAGTCTGCTGGATTTCACTTGTAGCCCCAAGTCTGATTGCTAGTGCAGCCCCCAGGACTAAATTTTTATATATATATATATAGTGAAAAATGCATGTATTTTATGATTGGCTTTTCGCAAATATTAAAATGAATATTATATGTGTTGTGTTAGAAAGTAATGCTGTATTAATTCTCTTAAGTACTGTGTTAAATATAGTTTTAGGTTATAAAAATTGTTAAAATAGAAACGATGCTATGTAGGATACTTTTTTTAAAAAAGAAAGGACTCGCAGCGAGATAGCAGCCACAGGACACCTAAATCTTTCAGAGAAAAAGAATTTATTGCCCTCTTATCAGAAGAAACGAACTTCTTCCGCCTAGAAGGCAAAGGCGCTGTTAGGATTCGGAGGAAGAAGTTGATGATGACCAGACAGAATCCTGTATTTGAATGGAATTTACGCATCATGTATGAGGTGTATGAATATGCAACAGGCTATTGCTTTTAAGGGTTAATCCTTTGTTAACGGGTGTCCTTTTTCGGGCTCGTGCTGCCCAGAAAAGGTACCCGGACGTCCGTAACTCTTTGTATTTGTTGTCTCATATTGTCCTAATTCAAATTGTCCAAATTATTATTACTCTAATTGTATTACTATTTTTATAACCATTTTATTACTATTAAACTTTTAAAATTTTAAAAACAAGTGATTGGCGTTTTTCATATATGTATATGTATATATATAAACTCAGCAACTAAACTCAGATGAGCACACAGAGCTCTCTACAGTCTTGTCTTTAAACTTAGTAAATGGAGTCCCTCATCTCTGCTGTCCATGAGGCATCTTTTCAAACCTTGAGTCCTTTTGAGCATGGCATGCCAAAAACTCAAAACTACTTATCAGGGCTGAGTCCTATGTATGTTTCTAGGTAGCATATTTTATTAAAGATTAAAAGTGCTTAAGATGCAAAGATTGCCTGTACTTTTTAGTCCACAATTGAGATATTGTGTTTGGCCATATTGAGATAGCATATAGATTTTTTTAAAATAATATGTATCTAAGATATAAATAAAATATTTATATAAAAATAAATATATATTTAGGTGCACCTTGTTTACCAAGAGCTCCAGGTCACTTTGCAAGTCACTCCATTATTTCTCACACCCTCAATTCTTGCATAATCTGCTAATGTGACATGGTGATAATTCAGTATAGCTTCTTCAAGACCATTGATAAAAAAGAATAGCAGACAGACAAAACTGATCCCGAGAGGATCTGAATCACTCACACAAATGTTTGCTGATTCTTCCTGAGAAAAACGCCAATCACTTGTTTTTAAAATTTTAAAAGTTTAATAGTAATAAAATGGTTATAAAAATAGTAATACAATTAGAGTAATAATAATTTGGACAATTTTGATTAGGACAATATGAGACAATAAGAACAAAGAGTTACGGACGGTCCGGGTACCTTTTCTGGGCAGCACGAGCCCGAAAAAGGACACACATTAACAGCGGAGTAACCCTTAAAAGCAATAGCCTGTTGCATATTCATACACCTCATACATGATGTATAAATTCCATTCAAATACAGGATTCTGTCTGGTCATCATCAACTTCTTCCTCCGAATCCTAACGGCATCTTCAGGGCTGAGCAAGGTGGGAAGAAGTTAGTTTCTTCTCATAAGAGAGCAATAAATTCTTTTTCTCTGAAAGATTTAGGTGTCCTGTGGCTGCTATCTCGCTGCGAGTCCTTTCTTTTTTAAAAAAAGTATCCTACATAGCATCGTTTCTATTTTAACAATTTTTATAACCTAAAACTATATTTAACACAGTACTTAAGAGAATTAATACAGCATTACTTTCTAACACAACACATATAATATTCATTTTAATATTTGCGAAAAGCCAATCATAAAATACATGCATTTTTCACAGTTAGTTTAGATAGGCAGTCTGAATTCTCCTTGGACTGTTTTTCTTGTCCCTTTTCTTGGAACCATTCGAACCTGCTCTGGACTGGGACCTGGGAAACACCTAGAGTTTGCACTTTGTGGCCTGCAGCAGCCATTCCCAGCGCCGGAGGGAATAACAGAGTGACCACTCACCGGAAAGAATCTCTGAATTTGTCATCTCTTCAGAGCAGTGAATGAGTTTTGTCATCCGGTATTGTTCATTTTGTGTGCTGGGGAGTGCTTTGCCTGTTAAATAAACAAGTTCTTTCCACTTGTCTCTGAGGGATCCTTCCCGAACCGGTTGGGGGGAGGGGCCGTGTGGGTTTGCTTTCTGGAGGGGCTCCCTTTGGAGGTTTTCTCCCAAATTTGGCCTAAACCAGGACACACTGGAGCACCCAAAACCCGTGCCTGCCCCGCGGGGCTCCTGTAGTTGCTCGGACCATGCCGCCATTTCGGCTGGACAGCCTGTGATCATAACTCAGCCCCATGCTTACCTGAGACCACCCCTCGGCTGCCGGGGCTGCCCGCACCTCCCATCACCATAGAAACACCAAGAGTGCCTCCACCTGAGGCCGAGTGGGCCGGCCCCAAAGAAACACCAGCAACACCATGGAGGTTGGCCACACCTCTGTCGGAGGACGTACCTACACCCTCAATCCAGCCTACGTCAGGGGGCAGGGCCCTGCCCCCAAGCCCAACTCTGGGGAACACAGCCGCGCCTCCAGTGGGAGTGGCTCCGCCCCTGCCTCCATGGACGGGTCTGAGAAACACGTCATCTAGAGCTGCCGCTGTCAAACTCGGAAGCAGAGTGTGGGAAAAATCCCTCCTAAACCCCCCCCCAAGCAATCCACAGAGCTAAAAGGCATGCAGGAGTGTTATACCATAAGAACATTAGTAGACAAGCCTGCCTGAAGAAATGGTTTTGGCCACGTAACATGACAACTACCTCTTGACAGCTAGGAGCAAGCCACCTTCTCACTAAGCCCAGCGGGAAGCCAGCAGCTACTTGCATATGGGCAGTGAAAAGGCTAACAAAAAATTCTAACAGCTCCAACCCAGACAGTACCAATCAAAGCAACACCAAGTTCCTACCCCTCAAACCTCAACAAAGCTTCACAGCCACCGTCTTCTACTGCTTCAACTATACAAAGGTTCTCATATTCCATAGACTCTAATAAACTAATAATGTGTACTAAAACTATAAAAAAGGTGTCACACAAGAGTTAAAAAAATGTGCAACTGTTTACTAAATATACCCTAGGATTCATAGTGCAATATTTAATATTGTTGTTTATGCTTGCTAAAACAAAAATTGATGTCTCTGAGAGCTGATTCTGTCACAGTTACTAAGAAAATATTATGTTTCTGTTTCAAGTATAGTTTGCTGTGTATTAAAAATATCCTAGAATGTATGTTACTAAATTTTCTCATAGTACTCCTACTATTTCTACTTGCAATGTTTCTATTTCAACTTAAGAAATTCAAAGAATTTACTCATCCTAACATTCTAGGTCCACTAAAGCATACATAAAACATTATTTTAGTAATATCATAAGCAAATTTCAATTGCAAAGTTTTTTTGACTGAGAACTTACCACCTATCATCATTTTAAAATACCTAAAAGTAGCCTATTAAATCAATAACAAATTTCTAACTTCTAACAAAAAGAAAAGTATATTACTTGCACTATTACCATAATAACTGAAAATTTTAAATGCCTATATTTCTTTAATTAATCAGAAGTTGTACATGTAAAAAACTTTTTGCACTGGATATTAATATCCTAATAAAAAGTACCTTATTAATACTGTTCACAATCCATATTTTGTTCCTATTTTTTGTTATTAATACAAAAAATGGGGAAAAAGGTTGGGGTGAATGTACACACCCCCTCTAAGTCGTAGGTAATATCATGTTCTAATGTCTTACAATCAATCATATAACAGTACAATAATTCTATGATAAATGGGTTTCAATCAACACTGGAACATGCTGGACACCTAATAGATATATCCAGCCTGCACTACGTTCTGCTCAGAACCACAGACAGTGTCAGCCTGATGTCCCCTCAACAGACATCACAGAGCCGTGTAACCAGAACAATTAATGACTACCTCATAGAAATCTGGGACTCTTGAAGTAACAGTTCATATAAAGACTATTTGTTTACAAACTGCTTGATCTGTTAAGTTTGTTTTTTCTCACAGTTCAAAAGTTGTGTGGAGTGCCCCTGTTCCTAAGAGAAAGGAATTTGATCTAACCCTTCTTGTGTTGCTAATAACTCCTCCCTTGACCCAAACCCTAAACTCCACCCATGATACCCTATAAAACCCCACGACCCTGCCTTTGCCTGGTCTTTCGTCTTCATCCCACCCGTCCTCCCTGGGGATAATAAATGGATTCTTGATCTTTCTGAAACGAAGACCCATCTCGTTTGTTCCCATGCCCGGCACCGGCAGCTGCACTCTCCCTGGACACGATGAACTCAGT